AGAGAGAGAGAGAGAGAGAGAGAGAGAGAGAGAGAGAGAGAGAGAGAATAGACAGAGAGAAATTAGATAGAGAGAAGGAAGATAGATAGATAGATAGATAGATAGATAGATAGATAGATAGATAGATAGATAGAGGTGATAGATACGAAAATTTCCTGGAAAACTGTGGAAATATAGATACCCAGCTATAATATTAATGCTTATTCATTTCACTCCTTTTAATGTATGTATGTATCCAATCTAGTAGGCTGTGGTGGCTATTGATTAGAAGTCTGCACATATTTGGCAGGAAAGGGGTTGTTGTGTATTTGCCTGGCTGTGTGGGGTCCATCATCACTGCACAATAGTCCTAGAATCAAGGTTTTAACCTTCCTTCAGTAGAAGGTCTATTCCTCTCCCCCTTCCCCGCAAAATATGAGGTATTGGCAGAGAAATATTGGTAGACGCTTTGATTTTCTTCTAAGCATGGCTCTTTACTGTTGACCAGTGTTGTGTTTCGTCTTCCAGCTGCTCACATCAGGACTTGGTCCCGTGTCTCTGGCAGCCGCAGGGCAAGGAGGCCTCCACCAACTAGAGCTGAAGAAGCCAGAAGAATGGGGATCACATTGGTGATCCCGACAAAAGAGGCAAAGATTGAGTTCCCCAAGATGGCCCCAACTTTGCAGATGCCGTTGAGTATCCCAAAAGCCGTGGCTCTAGATAGGAAGGAGAAAAAATCAGAGAAAGGCATCAGAATTCAAAAGCCAGACTTAATGACTTTAGCATAGGGACATTTCAATACTTTTAAGTATTTATGGTGATTATTTCACCATCCCATGCATGTAGCTGGTCACACCAAGGAAACAAGAACTAACTATCCAGATTTCAATAGGTGTCTGGGGTCACGTACAGAATCTTGAAGCCCGCAAGAGGGATTTCCCAGCCTTGTTTATGGTGAATCCATTATGGTGGGGCAATCTCTTTGAATGATTTAAAACGTTTTGTACAGAGGCAGGAACAACAGGCAGAGAAAGAAAAAGGAGATGACAAAAAGGGAGGAAAAAGGGGGAGGGGAAGGAGATTTGAGGACCCAGTGAGAAACTGGGATTTCAGGATAGGCAAAATCATACCACGAACAGCTTTCAGCAGAGTTTGTACAGGAAGCGGACTGAGATGCTGGCCCTAATATTCCTGTGAAGAGGCTAATCTTATGTTATCACTGGTGGTTAAAAACGGATTCATGTACAGATTGTTAGCCCCACTAGGTAGGCCAGATGAGGAAATCAACTCTATAGGAAGAGTAGAACAATATTTTCTTGAGATTGGCTACAGAAACAGAGCATTGCAAGTCTGTTTATGCTGGACTTCCTCCCCCTTCTTATACCCATGAGAATTAGGGAGGTGTCTACCTGAGTCACTTCCAAACATTGTCTGATTGCTCTGGACTTAAAAAACGCTTCAATCCATTTTGTCTAGATAATGGTTTTTGCATATCTCTATCAAAATCATCTCCCTTCCTTTCTACAAGATTAAGTTAAGGTATCCCTCAAGTCAAACTCAGCTCTACTCTAAAGACTGTACAAACACATCCATAGTTTTCCTGGCAGCAAGACAAAATTGATTTGCTATTGCCTTCTTCCTAAGATTTTTTTTAAACTTTCTAGTCTAATCTATAGCAGGATGATTTCCTGGTGGTCTCCTATGCACATCTGATATTGCTTAGCTTTTTTTGAGATCTGCCAGCATCCTTAGGTGTTGTCACTGCTGAGTCTAGAAGGAAACAGTTTGTGGGAAGAGTTTGGTGGATTAAAAAAATATGGCTGCATTTTAACTGAGGGTTAACACATTTTGAAAAGATCCAAATCGCTCCTTCTAATTTCTGTGTATAGTTTTGCAGCAGTAACTGAACAATAATTACACCAATGTCATCCAATCTTATTTTTATCTCAGTTTTGTTGTTACAAATATCCCTATTGCTCTGCTTAAATTTCAACTTTGGTTGCATAATCCTTACTCCTAATTCCAGTAACACATTTCTCAGAGTTATAAAGGTTAGCTTTTGATCTCTTCTCCCAAGGGAAAAGATCATGTTAGCCAACTCTGGAATTTAAAAAGAAAGAGAAGGGTGATTTTTCTGGGACAGTAAAGAAGAAGTGAGAATGGGGAACTTGGCTAGATACCCAAGGGGAGGTGTCAAGCAACACGTTTTGCATTATTCTAATAACAACATGGCAGGATATGAGCCACTGGAACCTTGAAACCAGGTTCCACAAAAGAGGTCCATGAGATGAATCACCTTTTCTGCGTGGGATACAACTCTACAGTGATAACATTCAAGGCATTCCAGGCAGCGATGCTGGTGCCACAAAACAGACACTGCCATCCGATCATGGCTGACTCGCTCTCGCCAAAGAACAAGAAGAAACAGCACACTGCCGAGATCAGCATGGACCCCCCTGCAAGAGAAGGCAGAAAGGAGGAGAGAAATATGAGCTTGGGGGGGAGTAAAAAAAAATCAAGATGGCAACTAGAACCATGCAATGAAAGCCCTGACTTTTAAAATGTCCAATGTAAAAGGGGCAGTGCTTTCATCACACGTTCGTGGCCATCATCGTGACTTCTTTAACCTCCCTGCAGACACTCCGGTTGGGTCTGTCCAAATTGAATAGAACATGCTCTTTCTGGATCAGGCCATATCAAAATTAAGAAAGTAGGGTAAAAGTTCAACTGCCAAGGAGGAAATAGTCTTGTGGAAGATGATTGTGCCAGGAAGATGAAGGTTCAGCTCCGCCTTCTTAGGAAAGTGCCATTTTTTCACACAAAAGAGATTTTGCATTGTTTGGTGATTGTTTTAGAAAGGCATGGAGAAGCCTTCAACTATGCAACACCCACTCCCTTATTCAGGACCTGCACTGTCCCAGGAGGCTCTATTACCTGCTACTTCTGGACGCCTGGCTCCTGAACCAAGACACAGCCCCCATCACATGAAGAGACTACCAGGCCCACTCTTCTCCTTGGATACCATCCATCCCCACTCACCGATCATCCTGATTCTTCCTAATTTGTCCATCAGCAGAGCTGAGATGATATTGCCAGGCAGCACTGAAAGACTGCCCAAGAAGCTCACAAGGTAAATGAGGAAATCGTTGTCTTCCTCAAAATCTAGTTGGCAACCCTTCTTCTCTTCAGAGAAAGAGACGTTCACAAATTCGCAGTCAATGAACTTATGCTTGTAGAGATCTGTAGAGAAGGAGACAATGGATGATCATCACTGGAACAGCTTCCAAAGCATGTGAAAATTCTGTGGCAGCTCAGAGCACCAGACTCCGGTCAACTGGTGCTCGTGGTGAAGGTGAGAATTATGAGGGGGAGTCTTAGTGATACCTCCCATGGGGATCACAGCATTTGCCAGATTCCAAAATCAGCCCCCCACACACACCAATAAACTAAAAATTTCTGAGAGAATTCTAATGACTGAGGGGATCATGCGAGTCTTCTTCTATGAGGTCTTGTGAAGTCTTGCAAAGGAAGTCTCCAAAATTCTTCACAAGTTTGGAATCTTTACACAATTTCACAATTTGACCCCCATTGCAGTGCCTGGTACTTGAAAAGTTTGCTGGGCCCAGTGCTTAGTAAATCCCCCTCCAGAACTATAATTCTATACATTATTCTGAGGAGAAGGAATATCTTTCCATTTGAAAGTTTGGAAAGTTTACATTCACAAACTTAACTTTGTTAGGGAATTAACCCATTTTCTCAGCTGGCACAATGCATTGAATTCTAAACTCTAATCAAAAGGGGTTGTGTAACATGCTAACCCACCCACACACACACACACACACACACACAATTTAAGATTAACCAAGCATTGCAAGTGGGGTGAAGATAGTTACTCATTCTGCTGATATGGTTAAGCACATTCTGTGAAGACAGCTATGGCTGAATTGGGCATTGCAAGTTACATGAACAACACAACAATTGTTCTTTGTTAGCCTGGCTTTAGGATACGGTGTGTGGTGTGATCTCAGCCCCTAAGCATGATTTTCTGGAATCCAGGGAAAACTGAGCAACTGTCAATAATAGGTTTATCAAGCATTTCCACCATGTAGCATCAAAGAGGAGGGGGAGGACATAAGGGCTAGCCTTGACAAGCCAGGATAAATCATACACGGGTGATCTGCCATCTGTCATAAAGACAGATCAAGCTAGCAGCAGCAGTCACGGGGTGGGTGTAGGGAGGTTTCAAACCAGGGAAGATGGTGGTCATGGTCGTGCGATTCCAGCCTGATCCATGGGTGCATGACTTTAACATTACTTTGCAAAAGGAACAAGGCTTAGATCGTGCTGTTGCAACTGTCATCTGGCCTGGTTTGATGGCCCTGTGGATACTGCTGAATCAAACCCTCGGCATGAAAATCACAAATGATGACATGGCCTTTCCATCCTCTCACGGAAAAGAAAGAAGAATGAATGTTTTGGGCTCACTCCTGGGGTATCCCCAGGGTTTAGTCAAAAAAGTCAACACGAACCATGATGGTGTGATCCAAACTCTGCCCGATTATGTGTTGCAGGTAGAGCTTGGATTCCACCATTGGGGCTGCCATCTTGACTATTCTGACCACACACTGCAGACATACACACACACACAGAGCCCTCTGGAGGGCTTATTCTGCTTCTCTTGACTGCAAGTGCTGCCCTCAAAGACCTGCCTCTCCACCTTCTGCTTTTATAGAAATGAAGAGCCCCCCTCCCTGACGCACAGAGGCACTTTGCACAAGCCTGCCCATGCATTCCTCTACATTACCTGTGTTATAGAAAGTGGTATTTATAAGAGTGCACTTTTTGAAGAAGGTCTTGCTGGATGTTATATCTTCAAAGTGGCAGTCCTCAAAGAGGGAGTCTTCAAAAGTCACATCGCGCATTTTTATTTCGATGAACCTGGGGAGGGACAAGAGCTGAGACCTTGCCATGATGTCTCATCCGAAGTAAGCCTTTTTATCCGCCAAGTGCCCAAGATAAGAACTACAGCAGAAGGAGGCTACAGAAGTTATCCAAAGTGCCATGAGTTAAACCAGGAGCGTCTTAGAACTTGGAATACAAACCGTTTTTTTTCCCCCCTAGTTATGGGAGGTTGGTAATCATAGGTATGTTTGTAAGCAGAAGAGTTGGAAGATTCAGGTTTAAGGGAAGTTTGTCAAGCCTTACAAAGACTTCCTCTAGGGGCAATGAGGAGGAGGGCTAACTCAGTCATTCCAGGAGAAGCTGCTGTGACAGGGGGCTGAATAAGGTGCAGAAACTCCTATTTTGGGTAGCAGCTTCTGTTTTTTGGAACAGCCCCCTGTTGAAAGATTCTGCCCCTCCCCCATCTCATAGCTGAAGATGCTTAAAGCCAAAACCTTCCCCAGAACATTTGTGGAGTGACTGGATGCCATTTAGGCTAGACCGTATTGAAGAGTTTTGCTGGATTAATGGCTCTTTAACTTCCTGTTGGTATTATTTATCTTTTGGGGATGTTTAGGTTAGAGTAGATGGCCATGACTTTCTCGTATTGATAGAATGCCATTCAGAAAAGAAAGTTTCTCTTGGGGTAAAACGAAGGGCCCGATTATTATTATTATTATTATTATTATTATTATTATTATTATTATTATTATTATTATTTCTG